TCCTGCATGGCCGACCGTAGTTCAACTCCTGGACCTGACAGCTTGCTTTCTCCTGTTCTCTTTCTTAGGTGAACACAGGTGTCCCACAGCCAATTAGGAAAACAAGACAAAAATAAAGTTAGACAAGTAATTCTTAGCAAAAGATTGCAAGTCTGAATGAGAGGAATGTGACATTTCTGGAACATTGTTACTGTCTTTTAAATGTATCAAGTTATCTTTAACAATTAAAAGGAAACTCCAAGTCTCTACACATATTTTCAGTGTTTCAAGTTGAACTCCTTAAAGCTCAGTCAGAGATGATCTGCCCTGGAGGGACACTTGGTAGTGCCTGGACACTTTCCAGGTTGTCATAAATGAAGGGTGATACTATGAGGGGACGGTTTGATATCAGGGGTGCTGCTAAGCACCCTTCAGGGAACAGGAACGATCCCCTCACTGCAAAAATGCATCCAGTCCCTAGCAGATGGTGTGGACGTTAAGGCAGCTGGACACCATATATTTGACTCCGTGGTTCATGTCCAAACTCGGCAACTTGAGAATCACTCCGGGCACATGTGCGTGCGTGCCCAAAATCCTGAGAAGAGAATGGAGGAGAAGGGATCATGGTGTGGCCATCCCCCACCTCCCCAGGGGGGGGGGGGATTTCTCACTTCCCCTCTCTCTGTCTTTCTCTGTCTCCTTCTGGTGAGCACACACCCTCTATAGCAAAAACTTCAAAAAATAAATCACCTGGCCTCCAATACTGATCATTGTGAGGTCGATCAATTCCAAAGTTCAAAAAGCGAGCCTTCCCGTTCCTGCTCAAGAATCGTTTTGGGGGAACCAGCAGTTAGCGTAATGGCTATGTCGCTGGACTCCCACGTAGTCAACCGCGGTTCACATCCCGGACCCGGTGGCTTAAAACTCACACAAGGCGCGTGTGCGTGCATGCCCAAGATCCCGAGAGGAGAATGGAGGAGAAGGGATTGCGGTGTGGCCATCCCCCCTGGGGGGTGATTTCTCACTTTCTGTCTCTCTGTCTCTCTCTGTCTGTCTGGCAAGCGCACGTGCCCTATAGCGAAAACCTCTCCAAAAAAAAAAAAAAAAAAAAAAGAATCGTTTTGGAAGGGCTGGCTCTGTAGCCCAGTGGTTAAGAGAGCCGGACCCCACGTGTGATTCAAACCTCAGCCTCAACAGCTTAAAAAATATGCCCGCTGCATGTCTCCAAAATCCTGACTGGATGGAGAAATGGAGAAGGGATTGTGATAGAACCACACCCCATCTCTCTCTCTGTCTCTGTCTCTCTGTGCAGAGCACACAAGTCCCCTTGGCAATTAATTTTTTTTTTTAAATATACTAAGATGTGACAGCTGTGGTGTAGTGATTTAGGTGCTGAAGTCCCACATGGTTTGAGTCCAAGGCCTGGCAGTGTGAAAATCACACCAGGTGTGTGGACGTGCATGTCCAAAACCCCAAGTCAATAAGAAAATGGAGGAGAAGGAATAGCGGTGTGGCCATCCCCCTGTGGGTGAGTTCTCATTTTCCTTCTCTCTCTCTCTCCAGGGAGTACACACACCCTATGCCAAAATTGTTAAAAAAAAAAAAATTGAGGGGGACCAGCAGTTAGCATAGTGGCTATGTCACTGGATTCCCATGTAGTCAACTGCAGTTCGAGTCCCAGACTCGGTGACTTAAACTCACACCAGACGCATGTGTGCGTGCTCAAGATCCCGAGAGGAGCATGGAGAAGGGATTGTGGCATGGCCATCCCCCCTGGGGAGTGATTTCTCGCTGTCTCTCAGTGTCTCTCTGTCTGTCTGGCGAGCGCATGTGCCCTATAGCAAAAACCTCTCAAAAAATAAAAAATAAAAAAAAAGAGAGAGCAGGGTGGAAGTGGTCTGGCCAAAGGAAAAGAGAAGACCAGCCAATAGCAAAGACCCCATTAAAAAATGTAGTAAATTCTCGGGACCAGAAGGTGGCGGGGCAATTCAGGGCTCTGGACTCCCACCATGACCGACTGTTGTTTGAGTCCTGGACCGGGCGGCTTCCTTTCTCAGTTTCCCTTTCTCTCTTTCATTCTGTCCCTCTCCGGTCAAATTAAAATACATACATAGATAAAGTTGAATAATTCTTTTTTTTTTTTTAAAGGTAGCCAATTCCCCTTTTT